TGTCTGACCTTCCCTAACTCTTCAAGTACATTGGATACATCTGGTTTTTTTTTTTCCTTCTTCTTCATCCCCTCTCCCCTGCAAGTGGCTGCATTTCTTCCTCATGAGTCTCCTTTCCCTACAGACATTCCCAGTTTGCTTTTTTCCTGGTGTCTTTAGAGAAACTGTTGCTCCCGTTCCCTGAGCTTCCTAATGCTCCCCTAGTCACACCCTAGGGCTTCCTTGCCTCTCCTCCCTTTATTTCCTTCCAAAGGCTTTTTTCTTTCCCTACTCCATTTAGGAACAATTCTCAGTTAAAAAATGAGGTTTTATTGTTTCTCCTGCACTGCTTTCTCACGGCAGCTTCCAGTTGCATAGCTCTACACGGTTGCGTTCCCTACGCAGTCATGTACCCTACACTGTCGCGTACCCCTGCATGGTTGTGTACCTCTGTATGGTGGCGTCCTAAAGAGTAGCCTTTACAGTCCATAGAGCTTGCTGTCTTTATAGATTTCATAAATTATTAATAAAACATGAATTTTAAAATATTTTCTTCAGTTTTGTAATTCAAAAGAAACCAGAACCAAGTGGTGGTGGTGCATACCTTTAAAACCAGCGCTTGGGAGGTAGAGGCAGGTGAATCTTCGAGTTCGAGGCCAGCCTGGTCTATGGAGTGAGTTCTAGGACAGCCAGGGTCACACAGAAAAACCTTATGTTGGAAACAAACAAACATCAACAAATCCCCAAAGAATACAAGCAAGGAAGCAAGCAAGCAAGCAGTCCAAATAGCGCTCACATTAGTGCTGGAAGTTAGACTACTCTGTATTGATAAGTTTGCTGAGTTATAGGGCATGCCCCTGGGGACAGTTCAATAGTCATGGAATAATTGGACACAAACAGGTGTCTAGGTCCTGTCCATCATGTGGCAGGTCCTTGTGGAATGCAGGAGAAGGACATAGAACTCTGCCCATTAACCTCTGGTCTGAGTGTGTTGTTGTGGAGAGAAGCAGGCTGAGAAAGTAGGAACTGGGACTTAGAGAGAATGTGACTTCCAGCATTGGAGGGGAGCGTGTCCCAGCCTCATTGTGCTCAGTACCTTTCACTCACCACGGCTACACTTGGTAGCAAGCTTTTGTAGAGGGGGCCGATTGAGGTTCCCCTTTTGTCTCCTACCCAGTAAAGGCTTGGGGTTCTGGCTGCCCACTTGGTAGCTTGAATAGAGGGATGGAAGCCTTCTGACGTTGGGGTTAAGAGGGGCAAAATATGGGGAAAACTGAGGCGTATTTAAGAGTGAGGGCTGAAGGAGGAATGAGGCTCTGTCACATGGAAGACAAGGCCGTTCAGTGTAGAAACAAGCTGCTCGATTTGTTTATTCGGATCCCTACTGTGGGCAAGAGATGATTTCCATGTGGGAAGTTTAAAGTGGGATATTTACACTCTTTGTATATGGATGCACATGTGTATATTTTACACTCAGTGTGTGTGTGTGTGTGTGTGTATGTATGTCTGTGTTTGTGTTTGCTACATTTCATAATAGTTTAATGCATTCTTTTTAAAGAGACATTTCTTTTAAGTTACATGAATGATTCTCTTTGAAGATAAACTGATGTTAACTTTTGAGCTTTGTAAGTTATGAGTAATTTGGGTAAAATTTGAAGATGACAGAGAAATTTTTTAAAAAATGATTCAGAGACTATCAAGAATTTATCAGCCATTACTTACATAACAACAACTAATAACTGGTTCTAACCAACAACAGAAGAAATTTTGAAGCCCAAAGAAAATTTGGTTTGAAAATAATACCTCTTTGACGCCTTCCTTGTACACATGTGTTATGTAAAAAGTCGTTTTTGTTTTACAAAACTCAATATTTTTTTTCCTTCTGTCTTTCCTTGCTCATTAAATCACCAGGCGGCTTTGAATCTGTGGTGGGGATGCCTTATTCCAGAGACTCAGCCTTTCCTTTTGTCTTGACATGTTGACTAAAGAAAGATAAGATATGCATTTCCAGTTAAATGCGTTTGTAAATGTATTTGGTTCAGAGAGTGCTGTCACAGTAAGTGCGCCAGCGCAGAGGGTTTCCCCCAGGATGTAAAGAGCAACCTTTGATGCTGATACAGTCAGTCAAAAATAAAGCTCAGCTTACAATTCTAAATTGGCTGAAATAGTATATGAGCGAAGTAAACAGGCCTTCCGTACAGCGTGCACGTGTATGTGTGTGCATATGTGTGTGCATGATTTTCTAAAGGCCTTGTGCTTTGCACTCTCAGGCTCTTGTTTCTCAAATTTTATCCCATCTAAGAGGCGTTGATTATTGAGATTGTTTCTATGCGTCTCTGGGTTTGTGGATTTAGGTCTTTCTCATCACCGAGGCCACTCTTCTCCTTGCTCTTCCTCTTGGGCAGTTTTGCCATAGGCATCCCATGATTGTCCCACATGCCAACTTCTCTAAGTAGGTTCAGTTATCTCAGGTCCTAAGGCCAGTGGTTCTGAGCATGGGATCAGCCTTCATGATTAGGCGAGAATTTATGATTTCTATTGGTGCTCATTTGTGTGTGTGTGTGTGTGTGTGTGTGTGTGTGTGTGTAATTTTATAGACAAGGTCTTTTGTATCCCAGACTGGCTAAAATCTTTAGTTGAGGATTACTTGGACCTTAACTTAGTGCCTAATGTTCCTCTTCTCTTCAATAAGGGTGACATGGGATATATTTTAATATTAGTTGTTTTGTTTTTATTCCTGATTTTGATGCCCATTTATATCCAACCTATTTCATCTCTCTACCAAAACCTCATATAGAGAGCAGCTTGACAACTGGCAAAACCCCTTCTGTCCTCTACTGAACTCTTTCTCCTCTGCCCTCTGCCTCTCTCAGCTCCTGTTTTTACTATAGAAACTACACGAATCACTACAGGGTATGGCTCGGGCTGAGCTTCACTTATTTAGTCCAGAGGTTTATAGATGTTATGTTTGTCTTAAAGTTTTAAATTAATATCCTCATTTGATTTTTTTACTGTTTTTAACTGAGGCATAATTGTATATCTTTATGGCATACACTAATAATTTACTACATGTGAATAATATGTGCTGATCAGAGCAATTCCTGTCATTTCTCACCATTGGGGAGCTACAAGCACCCCTCTTCTAGTTTCTCCTTAAAAGAAAATATGTAGTGAGTTAATATTTATAGTCTTCATCCTGTGGTGTGCACTCTAGAACATGCAGAACCCCCACTTGTTATATAACTGTACCTTGTTACCCATTATCCAACTCCACTCTCTTCTTAACCTTAGTGACTACTGTTCTGTTATATTGGTTTTGTTTAAATATGAGAAAATTAGAGCCCTGTGCAGCTTTAAATATTCAGAAGGATATCTATTAAAAGTTGCCTCTTAATATAAACTGGAATTATGTGCCTTTATCAGAAAGTCATATCTATGAGTCAGATGTCTTTAATTCTGGCTGGTAGAAGCTTCTATTTTTTTTCTACTTTTAATATTATCCCTTCCCCACATAGGGGTTCCCTATATAGGTTTCCAACATTGCACTTTACACAGACATTATTCACAGATAATTACTTGGTAATGAGTGTTAGACTTTAGACCAGGCCAGGCCAGTGTGAGAAGTCACTGGCTGTGGAGCTAGAGAAAGACCCAGGCTTCCAGTCTCCCTGTGTGACTGTAATCCTGTCACTGCAAGCTCCATGCCTCCATCCTTGTCTCATCCTGCAGCCAGCTATTCCTAGGTAAGGTTGTAGTAAAAAGGGCAACACCTACTGGGAGGTGTCAGGATTCTTTCCCAAGTTAAAAAGATTTGCATATGGGTGATGGTGGCACACGTCTTTAGTCCAAGCACTTGGGAGACAGAGGCAGGTAGAACTCTGTGAATTCTAGACCAGCCTGGTCTCCAGAGCGAATTCTAGGACAGCCAAGGCTACACAGAAAGACCCTGCCTTAAAACTCAAAAATCAAAACAAAATGAAAACTTTTTTTTTTTGATTGCCATCACTACTTCAAGATACACACGAACCTGGACTTAAATCAAGTTGTTGACTAAAAATATCATTAATTTAAAAAATGTTAAACAAATAAGGTTTAATCCACTTGTAGTTAATAGCTAAGATTTGAAAAACATTTTTTATATACCAGGGACCTTAAATTTCTTATTTTCAAAGATACAGGAACATCCTTTTGATTATTTGTTTGTGTTTTTCTTCCCCCTTTCCTTTATTACAACTTCCCAAGGAGCCTTTTAAAACTTTCATTTCCTAATATCTTTTCATGAAAATTTAATACCAAAGACATAGTGTACCCAATTGTATATTTTTGTGTACCTGTACTTGATATATAAAATAATGAAATTTGCCACTCATGCCTTCAAAGGCTGTCATCATCCCTTTGCTATACTGTCTCTGTCATGAATACAGGTCAAACCCGTTAGAAACCATCTGTAAGCCAGAGTGATGGTTTGGAACTAGGCTGATAGTGGGCTAACGGCAAATGCCTCCTGCCTCACAGAGGAGCTATGTTGCCCCTGTAGCAGCCTCTGATGCTGTGAAGAATCCTTTTCTTCACCTAGAGGATGGGGATGCTATTATCTTTGCAGTGGTCACTTGAGGATCGGATGGAATGGTTCGTGACATACACTCAATATGTGTTAACTGTTTAATGCACATTGATCGTGATTGCATTATCCTATTGATCATCACCTCCATCGTGGTCATTTGAACTGCAGATGTGAATGCCAGTATATAACCAGCTGTTTGCGTTTGGAGGAAAGGCATCTAAGGTTTTGGTTGTTGTTTTACATTACCATAAGATAAAGTTCTTATGGACCTTCACAGTAAATAACTGCAAATAAAAGTTTTATCTCTGTGTGTATTCATATATAGTATGTATGTGTGTTTGTATATGTGTGTGTGTATATATATATATATAGACAGAGTTTGCGTTATTATGAATTTATATGTTAGTCTAAAGTATAGGTCACTATTTTATTAAATGATTTTAAACTTTATTTTTAGATATTTGATTTAATGGATGCCAAAGCTCGTGCTGATTGTATCAAAGAAATAGATCTCCTTAAGGTAAGTAATGACCTGTGGTCTGTTTATTACAGTTCTTAGCGTGTTGATAAAATGACTTTTCAAAATGTCATATTTCACAGTAGAACAATCTTTATGGCTTGCTTGATGACACACTGGCTTTAAATAACACTGCACAAATTAAGAGTATGTATGTTTTGGAGACTATAATTTTGATTTATAATAAAATAATTAAATCAAAATATTAGGTAGAGTCCACTTTTTCAAAGCAGAAAAGGTCCGTGGTCATAAACACTGGACAAGTGTGTTTTTGTAGAACATTCTGTGTAAGCCTATCCTACTGGTTAAGTACTATAAGTGCATAGTGGTGTCACGTCACGGTGTGTCTTGCACATACATGAGGCTGGACGGACCCAGCCGCTTCACGTTTATAAACACTTTGAAAAGCCTCACTTCTATGGACTTAGGCAAAGTGAACAGAGAGTGTGCCAGGAATCAACATTCAGTTCCCCGTCCACCCGAGATGACGAGGTTCCAGGACCCGGGACAGTGTTTCGTTGTTGGTGCTCTTTTGCTGAATGGCCTTTGCTGTATTTTTTAGCTGTTTTCAGTCAGGTGTGATGGCCTATACTTGTGATCCCAGCACCTGGGAGGCCAAGACAGGCAGAACCTGAGCTCCAGGCCGGCCTGGGCTAGGAAGCAAGAGCTTCTCGTTAAAGAAAAGGAAAAGCGTGGAATTTTGTGCATCTGCGCTTGTTCTTAACATGTCAGTTTTAACCAAAGTATTTCAAAACTACTTTTCTACTCTTCACATTTGAAATGACTGCTTTACATGCGCGCGCGTGCACACACACACACACACACACACACACACACACACTTTTTAAAAATAGGAATAGTATCGCTGTGAACAGCACAGAGTAAAAACTTGAATATAAAGAATTTTTTGAGAATTTTTCTTTGAGAAATTATGTCTCGTGTTAAACTTGTTTAAAGTTTGAACAGAAAAGTTGTTAATGTGGGTGAATTGCTGTGTATATTTTTACAAGGGGAGATCTCTTTCTTAGGGATGATCTCAGACAACTCACATAGACAGGTTCCAGGTGCTTTTATTTCTTGCTGCAGAAACAGTATTTAGTTACTCTGTAGTCAGTGTTCATTGTGGTATTGAGCAGTAGAGCTGTCTAGGAACGGCTCTGATTTTAAAAGAAGAAGCACAAAGAGACACTTTTACAGCTGAATGTCCTTGTATGACAGTTCTCATTTTGAAGGATATAATTTTGAACAATTAATGATTCAGTTCTAGATTTCATTTACTGCATTTATTATATGCCTACTAGTCATAGTAGTACTTAAAGTCTTGAGTACATCATTTATTATATCTAATAAAATATTAAAATAAGTTTATTCATATCTAGTTTAACTTTGAATAATTATGTGTTTTAAAATTGACTATAATAAAAATATGCTGTCAAGATATTTGCAATTTGAGAATGAATTGCCGTAGCTAAATTAAAATTATTGAAAACTATACTACAGTTTAAAATAAAACTTTTTGATTTCTGCTGTTTTTCCTTAGCAACTCAATCATCCAAATGTAATTAAATATTATGCATCATTCATCGAAGATAATGAGCTGAACATAGTTTTGGAATTAGCAGATGCTGGTGACCTCTCCAGAATGATAAAAGTAAGTTTGTTCGTTTGTTCTTGTTTTTCTGTTCTGACAAAGTTGTCTGTGGAGTGTATACCGAGGTAGCTACTTTCAAGACCTCGCTGTAACAGTTGGCGTGTGGCGGGTGGGAAGGATGGAAGTGGTGATGAAGTTGACTTACTTTGCGAACTTCACCTTAATTACCTTACATTTCTAAATGCACCTGAATCACTTGGAAATAGCAACTTGTTTTCTGAAGTTGGAGTGTTTCAGCTTGTGACTCAGGAGCAGACTATGCTTGATCCTTTGTTTTCGGGCCTAAGGGAAAGGGGGAAGAAAGAAATCCCACGTTAGAGAAATAGCTTAATCATTAAAGTGCATGCCACCCAAGGATGAGCAGCTGAGAGCCTATCTCCAGAACTCATGTAAAAGGCCAGGTGCGGTATTAGGTGCCTGTTATGGGAACTCTCAGCAGCGGAGACAGAGGGGTCCCTGGAACTCCCTGGCCTGCCAGTAGAGCTGGGTTGGTGAGCTCTAGGTTCAGTGAGAGACCTTGTCTCAAAATAGAAGATAGGGAATGTGTAGTGAGTAGCTGTGGGCAGACCTGCTTTTCATCCCGCCCAGTTCCCCCGCACAGCTAGCTTAGCCCCAGAAATAACAACACGCAAATTGTATTCATTTAAACACTGCCTGGCCCATTATCTCTACAGAGTTAGTTACTGGCTAACTCTCACATCTTGATTAACCCATTTCTAATAATCTGTGTCGCACCACGAGGTGGTGACTTACCGGAAAAGATTCAGCATGTCTGACCTGGTGGCTGGCTTCATGGCATCTGCCCCATTGCCCTCTTCCCAGCATTCTGTTCTGTTTTCTCCGCCTACCTAATTTTCTGTCCTTTCAAAGGGCCAAGGCAGTCTCTTTATTGACCAATGAAAATAACACAATAGACAGATAACCCTCCTCCATCAGGAATGGTTGAGGAAGACATTAGCCTCCAACTTTTACAAGTACATACATACCCCTGCTCACGTAGCTACATGTAAACACACAATCCATGTGTTTGTGCATACACACACACAAAGACACACACACACAGACACAAACACACACATAAAGTAAAGAAATCTAAGAGCAGCTTAAAAGCTGAGCTGAGAGGCCTCCTCAGAGAAGAATTTGGATGTCAGTCTGCCTGAAAAGCTATTTCGCGGTCTTTCTTAAAAGCGTATTAATTGGGTTGATGTTGAGTTTCTGAGTAAGGTAAGAAACTGCTTATGCTTGCGCATGTTAGTCCTCTGCACCAACTTTCTCAAAAATATAATTCACAGGGACATTGCAGTGATTAAATCCTTTTATATTCACCCAGATCTTAAAATTGTGTTTCACATTCAGCTTCAGTCCCATGATAGACTATAGTCTCACAGACATATTTCTCTATAAGATGTTGCTTGCCTCCCGCTACCATACCCTGGGGGATAGGGGAAAAATGGTGCCGAGTCAATGGCACAGACTCTGGGAGGCACAATTTCTGGGAGTCAGGGAAGTGACAGAGCAGACTCATTTATTGAGGACTTTAGGTAAACTTTTATACCCCTTCCCAGGACCCAGGGGTCAGTGTCACCTGGAACCTGTGTTATCTCTCTTTTATTGGCTCCAGCCATCTGATGTCAAGGTGTCCTCAGTCTCTGGCACTGAGCCGGCTCCCAGTTGACTCAAGGGAAGTTACCAATGAGCATACTTGACTGGCCCCAGGGGGTTTTCTCCCAGGGCAGTCACAGCCAGTTTTAGCTGGCTGTTGGCCTCCTCTTACAACAAGACAGGCTGCATGCATAGCCTATATTTAAATGGCAGTGCCAGCTAAGCCTCTATTATTGTGGAAGACAAATTGGACAGTGTGAGAACAAATCAAACCAACCAAAGAAGAAAAACAAAGGTGTTTTGGTTACTTAGATCCTTCTAAAGTCAAGGAACCACCCACTGTTGCCTCCACTTTGGTTGAGACTTAAGGCTTGAAGGGGAGTAACAGCATTGCAGAGGTAAAGGGACTTAGAAGTTAGGGATGCCCTGGGGAAAAGCCTTTAGCATAACCTGGCTGTAGGTGGACTTGAAGTTCTGGTTTCCTGGCAGGTTTCCACAGTGATTTCAAGTTCTGTTTCGGGGGTGGGGAGTATTGTCAGCTTGTTCACTGAGTCTTTAGATTAGTAGAATCTGGTAAATCGCTAATAATCTGTTGCTGGTTATTGAAAAGAGAGTGCCAGACATGCTCCTTTAATCCGCACCGGGATCCTGGGAAGTAAATGCAGCACTTTAAAAGCATAAGCAAGTACCATTGCTAGCACATAGCAGGGCTAGGACTTCTGAAATTACGTCTGTTTAGTACACTAATGCACATGTCTTCCTTTGATAGCCCTTAAAGATTCCTGTGTGGCAGGATTCCTTTGATTATCATGTGCAAGTACTTGACCATCCACTCAAAAGAATGGTGTCATGACTTCCATCTCATTTCTAGATTTTCTGATCAAGGTGTCCAGTAGTTAAGGACTCTTCTCCTGAGCGGGGCTTCTGGATAGACCACAGTAACTTGTGTCACTCAGATTCTGTAAGTTGAGGACACTTGGCTAGTGTTTTCTAGTTACAGCCCTCACTGTGTAAGCTGAAGGAAGAAGGGCTGGGGAGTAGACGAGTGATAGAGTACTTGCCTAGCCCATTCGATTCCCAGCACAGCAAGGGGGAAAAAGAGTAATGTTATTACTTTGGGGGAGCTGCCTAAGCACGGCATTTAAAGTGAATCGCTTCCAACCAGTTATCTGATGTTCTGGTTCAGGGACTTCCCACCAGTTATTTAAGCTGCCACCTGCCAAAGTATTTCTTTGCAAGTTAAGGAGTAATAAAACTTTATAGTGATAGCTTTAAAAAGAAATTAGGATGTCTTCTGTGCCCACTTCTAGTGGACCACCTAGCCTTCCAATAGCTTGAACATGCAAAAGAAAGCTGTCTTTACAAATGACTACAACTTACATAAAACTATTTGAACTTTTAGGTGTGAGGTTTCTTTCCTTTTTTCTGTAATCACTGACCTGGTGATGCTGTGATAAAGAGTAAGTTTTCTCTCGAAGGTGGATCCAGAACACCAGAAGTCTATGTGGAATGAGTAGAACTCCTATAGACAGATGGAGCCATCTTTGCTGTACACCTGAGGCTTCTGACTAAAGTGTGCAGATGTGTATGACGTAGTGAACTTTTTACAGGGGGTATTTTTTTTAGAGGTATCGCTTTTTTCCTCATAAATTGTGAGCATGGCAATTTAATGTACTTCGGTAAATCCTAGACTTTCTGTCCTCCTCTCTCATGTATGTTAGCATGTAAGCTTTTGGATGACAACTTGCTTTCTGGTGGGTTCTGGCACTGTTTGTGTAGTCTAGGTATAAGACCTTCTGAGGGTTTCAGGTCCTTTAGATCTCAGATCTGAAAGCATGAGAGTCATATTGTCAAACCTGCAGATCTCAGCAAAACAGCCGTGACTGTTAAGTTGGAATCGCTAAAGGTCACTTCCCGGTGGATCACTTTGGATCCCAGGTATATTTGTGTGTGTGTTTTTTTCAGTATGCTGTTTTCAGACTTGACCAAATCTCCGTGATGCGTTCAGAGGAATAATGTAATAGATTTGAATGATCTGCCTCAAAGGTCTCTTCTGGTTCCTTCTGAGTAGAATTTTATTATGACTTATGTTACACATACAGTTATATTTGTTCCCCTCTATATGGTTTAAGCTTTGTGCTTATCCACTGTCTTAAATACAAAAGGCCTGCTTGTCTTGAATTTGTTTTCTCTAGTTAACATTTTCCAGAGGTAACCTCCAACTTTATGTGAACAAAATCTCCCCCATTTTGTTCTCTATCTGGACATAGATTCAGTATTAATTAAATCACTGCTTGGCCCATTAGCTCTAACTTCTAATAGGCTAACTCTTACATTTTAATTTAACCCATCTCCACTAATCTGTGTATTGCCACGAGGCTGTAGCTTACCGGGTAAAGTTCCAGCGTCTATCTCTGGTGGGGCTACATGGCTTCTCCTTGACTCTGCCTTCTTTCTCCCAGCATTTAGTTTAGTTTTTCCCACCTACCTATGTTCTGCCCTGCCCTGCTATAGGCTCAAAACAGTTTTCTTATTAACCACTGGCGTTCACAGCATACAGAGGAAATTCCACATCAATTACAGAAGACAGTATTCATAGAAAATTAGTAACTTCTGCTGCAGTAATGTGTATAAAGAAGATAGGGGCTTCATCAGGACATTTGGGAGGAGAAAGGAAACTTTTGATGGTGGTAAAAGGCTTTGAGGCAATGGGTGCTAGATGACCTTGACTTACTTTCTCTTAAGTGATTGAGTCACAGCTGCCATACTTAAATTAGTTTATAATACCTGTGTCTTAATGTTATTATGAGGGCCAACTCACACCCCCCCACACACACACACTACATATGTGTTATCTGTTTACTTATTTTTAGACCTTTACAAATAAATGAACACACATTGTCTGGGCAATCTGAATTTTTGATTCAATAAGTGCTCAAGTTTTTTTTATTCCCTTTAGGCCTCTGAGTGGTACTCTACCTAACCCACCCCTTCGATCATCCAGTTTAGCCTCTCATTTCAGAGGGACTAGACTGTGTGGGAGGGTTGCACCTTTACTTTCCCATCGGTCTGCCCTGGTGACTTGTGTGTGGCATTGTGCTTTCCTGTTCTCTTCCGTTGACATACTGTTATGCAGGATGGATTGCTGTATATCCCTCCACCTGGGTCTCTACCCTCTCATTGCTTTCTCAGTTCAACCCTTGTCTTTCCTGGTTGTTTAGCTGTAACCTGCCTCTCCTGGGTTTTATCTATTATCCTTTAAATATCTTTGTTTCATTGTTCTTTTATGTGACTACATATATACACACATACAGACATATGCACATGTTCTTTATTAATTCACTCATTCGAGAAATTTATGTTGTGGTGGGGAAGGCAAAGAAAATGATAAGCAAGTG